ACCGTAACTAATCTGTAATATCCCAATAGTAAATTACTGTCAACAACTCCATTCTCTGGCTTATGTTTTGCTGCAGTGTGTGAAATCATGAAGCTCTGTCCTCAGTCTTAGAGAGGTGTACGGAATCCACTTCCCTCGTAAGTTCTTTCATTTATCTGACATTTATATATTATTAACTATGCTCTATACACTATTCTGTTTATTATATTGTCACTTAATCTTCCTAACAATCTCATGAGATATGTCCTATTGCTATTCCCATTTGAGATGAGGCACAGAGAGGTTAAATAATCCGTCTAAGGATGTACAGCTAAGTAACTGGCAGAGTTTATGTTCAGATCTAGCAGGTGAACGCTAACATTCCTACTCCTAACCACTGACCTGTGCGGTCTCCAGGTGAACGTCAGAGTGCCCCCTAGTGGACATTTGTTAATGTCCATAATAATCATAAGAAGGATATAAGATTCAAGACAAGCGAGGGGGCAGACTGTCAGAAGTATACCTGATCAGAAGTACGGCCCTGGACTGTAGAAAGAAACTTATATTGTAGGGGAGGCAAACTCTGGCATACTGACTCCCTTTCCCTCCCATAGCAAGTGCTGGCCTCAGTTTGTACCAAACCATACTCACTGCCTGCTGAAAGTACTTGATGTGGCCTTCCTTATGCAGCCCTCAAGTCTGGATGTTTAAGTAAGTTTTATTTACAAAGGAGTTCTTTGCAACATTACTTCTGCAATGTCCCCCTAAATAAACTCTTCTTCTTAGTCCCTGCCTTCCAGACATTTCACTTAATAAAAAAGTCAAAGCCAGACGGGCAAAGTGGCTCGTGCCTGTAATCCCAGCACTTTGAGAGACAGAAGTGGGAGGATTGCTTGAGGCCAAGAGTTCGAGACTAGCTTGGGCAGCACAGTGAAACTCTTTCTCTACAAAACATTAAAAAATTAGCCAGGTGTGGTAGCATGTGCCTGTAGTTCTAGCTGCTTGGGAGGCTGAGGTAAGATCACTTGAGCCCAAGAGGTTGAGGGTAATGTGAGCTGTGATGACACCAGTATACTCCAGCCTGGGTGACAGAGTGAGAGCCTGACTCAAAAAAAAGGCAAAGCCTTCAGCCAATACACATCTACAAAACCAGAAAGGCCGTATCTCTTATCCTCTTGAAGAAGCCCCAAAGAATTAGCACTGTCATCAACTGGCAATGCTGATCCAGAGCTCCTGTGGTCAAAAGTCTCTACCAGAGTTTTGTAAAGGGCCTTTGTCCTTTGTGATCTGATATTTGTATATCTTTCTTTTGTTTGTTTATTTTTTGAGACAAGGTTCTGGCTCTGTTACCAAGACTGGAGTACATTGGTTGTGATCATAGCTCACAGTCTCAAACTCCTGGACTCGAGCAGTCCTCTTACCTCAGCCTCCCAAGTGGCCCCAAGTACTGGGACTACGGGTACATGTTGTCACACCCAGCTAGTTTTAAATTTTTCTGTAGAGACAAGATCTTACTATGTTGCCTAGGCTGGTCTCGAACTCCTGGGCTCAAGTAATCCTCCCACTTTAGCCACCCAAATTGTTGGGATTACAGGTATGAGCCACTGAACCCAGTTTATGTAACTTATTTTTTAAGAAAAAGCTTTACAATTCATTACATTATTCACACGCAATATATTATTTCATATTTGATCCTCCAAACAACTTCAAGAGGAAGAGAATATAACTTTCATTTGGCAGAGAGGAAACAAGCACAGAGATATGAGTTGCCATGCACCAAGGCTCAGCCTCAGCTGTGCTGCCTTTGGTAAGTCACTGTGTCTCTGTGGGCCTTTCTTTTCCTACTTGCCCCCCCCCTTTTTTTTTTTGAGTTGGAGTCTCACTCTGTCACCCAGACTGGAGTGCAGTGGCTGCTCCTGGCCACTGCAGCCTTAACCTGCTGGGCTCCGGCGATCCTTCCGCCTCAGCCTTCCAAGTAGCTGGAACTACAGGTGCGCGCTACCACGCCCGGCTCATTTTGATTTATTGTAGAGACGAGGTCTCGCCAATTTGCCCAGGCGGGTCTCGAACCCACGGGCTCAGGCAATCCACTCACCTCAGCCTCCCAAAGGTGGGGGATTACAGGCTGAGCCTCCGAGCCCGGCTCCTACTTGCCCCTTAATGGGATTGGAATAGGTGCTCTTCAAGGAGTCCTCCAAACATTTTGTAAGGCTAAAATTCTGAGGAATATATTTCTCTGAAAGAGAAAGGTAACCAAGCCTTCTGAATTCCACATTTCTGTTCACTGAGGTGTAGGTGGGAGGAGGGAGACTGAAGCACCTCATTTACATCCACCATGGAACATGACTTCATTATTTCCCAGGGAACAAGGAGTGTGTCTTTCCCATCTCTCTATCCTATCATGGATAGGGACAGAGTGTTTGTTTTTGAGTCAGAGTCTCACCCTGTTGCCCAGGCGGGAGTGCAGTGGCACAACTGACCTGCTGGGCTCAGGCGATCCTTCCGCCTCCCAAGTAGCTGGGACTACAGGCATGGGTCACCACACTTGGCTAATGTGTTGATTTATTGTAGAGACAAGTTCTTACCATGTTGCCCAGGTTGGTCTCGAACTCCTGAACTCAGACAATCCTCTTGGTTTGGCCTCCCAAAGTGCTGGTACTATGGGTGTGAGCCACTACGTTCAGCTGAGAGTGGTTTTTGAAAGGGCTTTCCCCCCTGTGTTCCTTTAAGGACCTCAAATAACTAAGATGGTGAGATATTGCAGGAAATTACAACATATTTGTCTCAAAGTCTGTGGATTACAACTTTTTATGATAATAATGAAAGCTGAGATCAGTCAAGGACACACTCTGAGTTTGGCACCGAACCAAATGCTTGACATGTATTATCTTGTGTATTTCTCATAGCCATCTTAAGAGGCAGGTATTATCACTATCGCCATGCTACAGGAAAAGGAACAGGCTGAGAGAAGAAAAAGAACTTCTGAAGACTGCATAGCTATTAGGCAATGAAATCTGGATTCAAACCTAGGAAATCTGCCAGCAGCTCTTAACTGCGGCAGGAGACCACATGGTTTCTCCTACAAGAAAAGGAGACTAGTATTATGCACAGTTTAGTACTTTTAAAATTTTTTTTTTTTTTCGAGTTGGAGTCTCACTTTGTTGCCCAGACTGGAGTGCAGTGGCCACTCCCG